TTAAAAAATAAAAGTATTCAATTAAATAGAAAAAAATACTGCAGATGTACCCGTGCGACCTAGGGGTGAGGAAGGACTTCTTATACAACACTTATAAGCACAAATCATGAGGAAAGAATCAATCTGACTACAGTGAGACTGAGGAATTCTATTCAGTGGAGAACACAGTGGGAAAAGTTGTCACGCAGATGACAGACTGGGGAAAAATTAGTTGAAAATGTCTAAAACCGGCAAGGCAATACTATGTATACTAGCAGCTAGTGCTAATGAACAAGAAAAAGACGAGAATCCCAGTGGAAAATGGACACAGCACACGAAAGGCAGTTTTTGGAAGAGGAAATCTAGAAGGCCTACGCGTGACCTCCACGCGGGTGAATATTAGAGGAAGTGGCAATTTAAACAACCATGAGATGCCACTGCACACCTTTTCAGCCAGCGAAGCGAGGGCCCTGTTACGTGCTCTGCGTCGCGAGGGCTGTGGCACACAGGGACCCTGAGCTGAGCGCTCAGGCATTCCTCCCTCCCTGATGGCCCCACGGACATGCAGGAGGAGCCTCCTAGGACTCAGACCCGAGAGCATCTTCAGGATCAGCCAAGATATTGCGGCTGAGCGAGTGAGGCCCAGAAATGGCACAGGACCAGAGCAGCCTCCAGGAGCAAGACAGAGCAGAGACCCAGGCCTCCGGGCTGTGTGCGGGCCCGTCCCTGGCCTGCCTAGCTCTGGTTCCAGGGATTTCCCTCTCCCAGCAACTCTGCCTGTCCCTTCTGGCCTCAGGAGCCTCCTGCTTCTGGGCCAGTCTGAGGGCCTGCCCTTCCTGACCCGGTCGGGAGAGTTCCTGCTCCCCTGCCTCCATCCCTCCCATCCCTCCAACTCTGTGTCCTCGCTCTTCCCCTGGCCAGCCTTGGCTTCCATCCGAGCCTCCTGGGTTCCCTACCACCAGGTCTCCTCTCAGGCTCAGAGACCTGTGTGGGCCCTGTCCCCTCCTCTGTGTCATAGTTCAGGGTGGGTCCTTACACGAAAACTCTGGCCACAGGGGCCTGAGAGACAACACAGGAGCAGGCAACATCCCAGCTAAGGTCCATCCCCCTTTCTCCTTCCTCCTGCAGAAAATCGAATGCCCCCCTCTGCCTTGGCTCTGCTGCCCCCGGACTCCTGGTCTCTGTGCTGTGTGGACTCCTCGTGGCCAAGCGGCTGGTGCTGTGAGTCCTGTCTGTGCTCCTGAGCTGCAGGCGCCGGTGAGTGGGGCCCGGATTAGGCCTGGGGGGCGATGGAGCTGGGCCAGCCTCTGTCCCAGAAAAGATGTCCAGGAAGGAGGAGCCAGAGAGCACAGAGGGGGGTAACATTATAACTGAGTCTAATTCAAATATGTGTTATTTTCACAACTCTGCCTCCCCTAGAAAAAGACGTTAGAGAAAGGCAGAGGCTTTCCTGGAGGCACCAATGCCAGGCTCTGCCTCCGTCTGTGTCCTGAGAGGGAGAAGGGCAGGAGGAGTTAGCTGAGAGCACCTGGGCAGAAGGTTTCAGGGACAGGAGCAGGGCTGGAGCAGGTGACAGTGGGAAGGCAGGCAGGGAGGACCAGGTAACAGGGACAGGGTAGGACAAACGGGCAGGGAAGAGGGTCAGGATTCACTTCCATTTATGAATGCCCTCCTCATCCCCTCCTCAGGGTCATAGGATACCATGGGGACACCCTGAGGAGGCTTCTGATTCTGCCAGTGCAGCCCCAGGACCCTTGGGGGCGTTTAGCCGCACCTGTGGATCCAGGACGAATCTCCGTCCTCCTCCCGGTGCCCAGCTGCTGGGAGCTGCCCTTACCATGGAGCCCACAGCCCCGTGAGGAAAGGCCAGCGCTCAAGCCTGTGGGAGACCACTCCCCGTCCCCAAACTTCCCTGTTGCGACCCCTCATCTGGGCACAAAACCTTCTTGCCTCCACTTCCGCTGCCCTGACCATCCCCGTCCCAGTGCCCCCACAAGCAGCCCACCCTCAGAGGTTCATTTGCATCCGGTCAATGCCCTACACAGGCTCTATCCCACATGTCCCCGAGTTCTCTGTAGGACCAGCTAGGTCCCTCAGCCCCGCCTCCGCTGGGCCACACCAGGGGCCTCACCTCTCCCTGGTTCTTGCCCCTGCCCTGCCCAGAGTCCTGTGTGTTTCCTCCTGGGCCTAAATTCAAGCCTCTGAACTGAAACGTGTCAGGGGCCACTGAGCAAGATGACAGAGGCATCTCCTCGCCTTCCTCCCCTCCCATCCCAGATATCCTAATGAGTTAAAAATGATTCAAAAATAAATGATAAAATTGAATCTGAGACAGGCTCTTGTTGGCACACCTGCAGATGTCTTAGAAGTGAAAGAAGAAAATCAGAGGCAGCCCGGTAAGAGCAGATGACGCGGCAGCCTGAAATAGGAGACAAAAATACTCATCCATAAATACGATCTGACAGCCCGGGTCTGGAAGTGTGTGTTTCACATGCGACATAATTCTTCGCTTAAAAGAGAAAATCAGGTTGAAGAAACAGAATAATTGGCCGTAGGTGAATGAAAGGTGAGTGTTTCAGGGAACAGGAAAGGTGATCACGTCTGTGAAACAACAAAAGACAGAGTTAGAAGCACGCCCAGCGAGGGGGCTGGTGGAGCAGGTCTCTCAGCCCCGACAGTCAAGGGCGGTTTCCTCCGGCACAGGGTTTTACGCTGCAGAAGGGATGAGTGCAAGGGGGCAGGGCGGGGCGGGGTGAGCTGTGGGGTGTGGAGTGAGAGGCGCTTTGGGCCAAGCGTGGCCTGGGCCTCCTGGGCCCTCTGTGGACTTAGGAGCTCATGTTTCCCCAAAAGTGAACACCAAGCTTTGGGGGCATGTGCACCCTTCCAGGAAGAGGTCTTGAGAAGGGACGGTCAAAAGGGTGGCAGGGCCAAGGGCTAGCAGCTTGGGCGGAAAGCTCCCTCTCCCACATCCTGCTTTGCCATCTCCTGCAATTCGTTTTGCTCCTTTGAGCCTCTGTTTTCTCATCTGTGAAGCGAGGCTAACGATGGTAGCCTCCTAATAGAACAGGTTCGAGGATCAAGTCAGGTGACACACGCGGGGAACACAGAGGAGAACAGGACGTGAGGCAGCGTTCAACAGCGTCAGCTGTCCTTGATAAGACCGTGGTTCAGGGCTTCTGTGTCCCTCACAAAAGCTTACACCGTTCATGCTCTTTCAGGACGTACCTGGGGACCTTAATCGGACTGTAACGAATTATGTCCTTAATTGCCTCATCTGAAAGTTGGGGATAAGTTTTACCTCACAGCAGTTGTGAGGATTAGATGAAAATGCCGGGCAGTCACTAGGCTCACTCATTAGCTAAGTGACCCAGGTTGAAAATGCTGGTCTAGTGTCTACTATCAAAGTCTGGCCTGCATCTATGGTGTAGCTGTGTTCCAATAAAACTTCATGAAAACGTGAGACGGGCCCCTATCCTGTGATGATACTAAATTCTCTTGCAGATCTTTCATTCTCTTTTGTTTTCCAGGTATACAGTAGCAATCTGCATACAGCGATAATCCAAATTCCCTATTTCTGACTCTAATTTCTTCTCCTGTCTAATATTCTTGGCTGAGACCTCAGGTACAATGTCGGATACTTGGCAGTGACCACGGGCAGGCCTAATCGTGTTTGAGAATCAGTCCGCTGTTTTTTGATTGAGTAGGAGGCTGGCTTTTCGGGAGTGGGGGGTAGAAAAAGGAAAAGGCAGAGTCATAATCAGAACAGGTGACATTCGTAAGGCCTGGGACCGATCACTCCTAGTTGGGGTCCACCATGGACAGCCAGTACAAGGTACCAGTGCACGGCAGCTGAATACCAGCCCTAAAAAAGGCCACCACAAACACAGCACCAAATATACAACACAAGCCATTTTCTGCTCCTTTTTTGGGGGGGGTATGTCAAACATAGAAGTTTCTTCATGTATATCTCAGCTCAAGCCGCATGGCCATCACCTACCTGTGCGAAGCACACTTTCACTTCGTTTCTTCTTTTTTTAAGCTCATTCCTTACTTACACCTGCCTCCCCCTCTGAGGCAACCACTTCAATGTGTTCGATGTGTAACCTTGGAATTGAATGTATTCTTGTTAAACATGCAGATTTTTTTTCTGCGACTGCGTTTTAACTAACATAGAAGAAATCGTGATATGCCTTTTTCATGTACTTGTTTCACTCCTTGCTGGCCGCCTAGGCCCCGCTCACTGCTTTTTAGGCGAGAGCTGATTCCCCACAGTGCATCATCCAGAGCTCTGGGGCATAGACTGTTTGGCCTTCACTTTTCCATGTCACAAACGATGCTATGGCGGATGTCCTCGATCATATTCCCTTGTTGAATTTCCTGTAGGATTTATGCCCAGGTGGGATTAGCTGGGCTGTCTGAGAGGATCAGACACCTAATTAATGCTGTCAGCTTGTATTGCCTGAACCACTGATTTAGACAGCTAGAGATTACGTGCTTCCTCTATGTGAGGTACACAGCACCACCCCTGGAACGATTTTGCCAACAAAAGGTGGGAGGTGAGAATAAACGTAGTCGAGTGGTGGCACATAGCGATTAGATATGTCATTTTCTCTGCTTTTTTGCATGCTTGGAAGTTTTCATAATTAAAATAACGCATAAATGTAAGGACTCATGCATTAAAGCACTGCTATTTTATTTTCAGTTGTGGATAGCTGAATCCAATCTTCTCTTGATTTATTGGATTTATACAACTGCAACAGACTTGGACAAGTTCACTTAGAGTACGGAAACATTGAGATTCAAGTAAAGAACCTTAGTAGTGGGATAAAAGTGAACTGAACAAAAATGCAACTTCCAACTTCCAATGCAACTTAGCAACTTCAATCAGATGCTAAGAGGTAGCATTTAGCTATGAATTTTTAACATTTTATCTTAACATCCCTGGCCTCAAAACTGTCCTAATTCCCTTCACCACTATTTTCAAGGTTGTGGTAAATTCTATGTCATAAGTTAACATCCGAAAGAGGTATATTTCTTCAAAATTTTGAACATATTACACTGTTTTCTTACCTTCAGTGTTGCTATGGAAACATCTGATATTTGCATTCTGATATTTGTTCATCTTATCTGACCTATTTTATCTATCTGAAATATCTGATAATCTTCTCTTTGAAATCTTTAATGTGTTTTAATGTGGGGTGTTTAGTTATCCATTCTATTTGGAATTCTCTGAACACATTCAATCTGATGTCTTATGTATTTCTTTAATTCTGAGAAATTCTCAATATTATTTTTTCAAATAGTCTCTCCTCCATTTACTCTTTTTTTTCTCATTCTGGGACTTCTTGAGGAGATATTGACATATCTATTTTTTTTAAATACTCAGCTACTATTTTTCCTTCTCTTTACTTACACTGAAATATTTCCACGTTTGGAAGGGTCATTAGGTTGATCCACTGTACATGTCTAGACTGCAGGCAATAGTACTAGTCCAGTAAGTAACATCCCTGTCAGTTCGCTCCCATTCAGGTAGGGTAAGGTTACATAGGTGTGGAACTAGTGAGCTATTTTTACTACCAGGCAGTATAGCTGCATTCACTGTTAATACCAATTTTGCCAAGTGAAGGCACAGCTCACCCCCATGAAGCCCTTAGGAATTCTGACCTAAGGTTTTAAAACATGGTTACAGTTTCAAAGTATTTTTTAAGCATAGTAATTAGGGGCTACATTTGCAAACAGATTTTTCCTACTAAGACTTCATTATTTTGGCACAAACGGTCATGAATCTGACATTAAATACATGCCATAAGAGCATGTATAACTCCCAGCCCAAGATCAACATATCTATGTCTCTCTTCGTTACTTCTTAATTTTTCTCTTATACTGCCCATCACTTTATCCCTTCCTAATACCCTTGGGGAGTGTTCCTTGACTCTATCTTTCCCTCATCCATTTATTCTTCTGCCAGTCATTCCATTCACTGAGTTCTTTATTTCCAAAATTATACTTTTCAAAGTCAATATCGCTAATTTGTTCTTCCTCATTATTGCTTGCTCCTGGTTCATGCTTCTAATATTGTCCTTATTTCTCTGAGAATATTTATTATGCTTATTGTAAATTATTATCCTTCCAATAGTTATGCCTCCTCTGTAATAGATTATTTAATTTCTTCCTTTCTTTTTCTTTCTTTCTTTCTTTCTTTCTTTCTTTCTTTCTTTCTTCCTTGGTTGGGGAACAACAGGGTCTCGTCCTGTCACCCTGGCTAGAGTGCAGTGGCACCATCATAACTCACCACAACCTCGATCTCCTGGGCTCAAGCAATCCTCCTGCCTCAGCCTACTGAGTAGCTGCGACCACACATGTGCTCCACCACGCCCGGCTAATTTTTCTATTTTTGGTACAGACAGGATCTCACTCTTGCTTAGGCTGGTCTCGAACTGCTGACCTCAAGTGATCCTCCCGCCTTGGCCTTCCAAAGTGCTAGGATTACAGGTGTGAGCCGCCACGCCTGACCTAATTTACTTCTTTATAAGAGCATGTTTAACTATTTGGAAAAAGGTTAAATTTTATGCCCTATTCATACTGTAAAATAGATTTTAAAGGTTTAAAGAGAAAATGTTAAATGAGAAAATATTAAAGAACTAAAGAAATAGCTGTCTAAAGATCCAGTCCTGGTCATGGAAGACATATGTAAGTAATAATAGAGGCAGAAATCATAGGGGGAAAAGGCGGAGACATTTGCCAAAATGAAAAATCTAAAAACTCTGTATGTCACAAAACATCTTAAAGAAAAGGAAAACGTGAAGAACAAATTCAAAAGAGCTGTTGGAATTAAATTAGAAATCAGTAGCCAAATAACAAAAGGGTATGTGGGAACTAAAAAATATAATAACCAAAGTAAGAAGCTCACTTGATGGACTCCATGGGAGAGTGGAGAAGACAGGGGATAGAATGAGTGAACTTGAAGACAGATCAAAATTTACTCAGTCTGAACAACAGACAGGAAATAGACTGAAAATAAATGAGCAGAACCTCAGCAGTCTGCGAGACATTTCAAAAAGAGCTAACTTGGCATCATCAGAGTCCCAGAAGGAAAAATGTCCCAATGTTGGACTGAAACGTATCAAACATGTCTTAAAACGTCTCAAATTTGGGAAAAGGCATAAATCTACATATCCAAGAATCTGAATTAATCTCAAATAGAATAAACCCAGAGAAATACACACCAAGACACAACATAAATAAACTCTGAGAATTGACTACGTGTGAAGGAATGCCAATTCCAACTGCAGTGAATTTCTCCTGTGAAACAACGGAAGTCAGAATGATGTGGCGTAGCATTTCTCAGATGCTAAGAAGATGCATAACCAACTTCAAAATGAGCACAGGATTTAAATAGACATCTCTCCAAAGATATACAAATGACCAAATATGGCACACAATGATGTTCAACATCATTAGTCAATAGGTAAACACAATTCAAACCACAAGATAAAATTTCCCATCCACTAAGATGGCTATAAACAAAAAGACCATACAAGCTTTGGAGAGTTTGTAGAGAAATGAGGACACTCACACATTGCTGGTGACAGTGTAAAATGTTGCAGCCACTTTGGAAAACTATTTGGTAGTTCCTCAAAATGGAAAACAGAGTTGCTATGTGACCCAGGCAATCTACTATTTGTTATATACTCAGGAGAAATGAAAACATACGCCCACACAAAAACTTACACATGAATGTTTATAATAGCGCTGTTCACAATAGCCAAACACTGGTAACAAATCAAATATCCATCAACTGATAAATGGAAAAACAAAAGTAAATCCATACAATGAAATATTATTCAGCCATCAAAAGGAATGAGGTACTAATACAACTTGTACAGCAAGTACTGCAGCAACGTGGATGGACCTTGACAACATTATGTAGGGGTTTAACAGAAACGTTGATTCCGGGACACAAAGTCCCTGTAAGAGAGAAATCCCCGACTCCTGAAGCCACCTACTGTTCTGGGGAGGGAAGGGGTGAAGGAAGACACCACGTGTGCTGGTGGGGAGCTAGCCTGTGAACTCAGTGATCTGAGGAAGTTTTGAGGCTTGGTGAGAAGTACTGAAAAAGGAACGGTGAAGAAGGAAAACATAACACACCTTCCGTGAGCTGAGAGGTCTGAAATGACAACTGCATCTCGTTCCTGTATCCCCAGTGCTGACTAGCTCCACCCACTGCAACGAGGTGTGGGAACGAACAAATGAATGAATGAATGAGTTAAAAGACTACAAAAGTTTTGTGGACAGCCCAGATAAAACTTCTTTGATTTGGGATTTGGGGGTTCAAGGTCAAGTTAAGACTGCGGCCATGTAAACTTGAAGACTGTTTACTCTGAGTCCTGCTAAAGTAAATTAAAATAGAGACCAGGCCCAAAGAATCTCTGAACAGACAAAACAAGGTAGGCCTCATAAGTGACTTCAACCCTGACTGAATTAGCAAACAAAAGTGAAATTTAACTTGAGCTATTTCTGGTAAATGTGTATATTTAGCAATGACAGAAACTAAGCTTAACCAATCAGAAATGGCCAACGAGCTTATAGTTGTGTAACTAGGGTCTTTCGAATGGGATAAATCAAAGAAGGCAACTGTATAACTGTAACCAATTAAATATTTTCTTTGATTTACTTGTCCTGTGAAAGCCTCCTCCTCCTCCTTGGGTTCCCTCAGTGGAGCTCTTGAGCCACCTCTGGTTTGGAGCTGCCTGATTCATGAATTGTTTGCTCAAATAACCTCTTTATTATTTTTTTGTGCCTCAGTTTACTTTCTGGCAATCCCATCTAAGGAGACGAAGGGTGGCCAGGTGAGTAGGGGGAGTACTCATAGCCTTGGGGGCCCACCTGGGTCCCCACACACCAAAGGAGCAGGTGACACTGCTGACGGACGTCAGAAATCATTCCTTCTGATTCTGAGCCCTGGGGACTCGGCGAAGGGTGGGGTCCTGGGCTGGAGCCGGGTGGCTGTAGAGGCGAGATAGGGTTGAGCGGGAGGAAGTGGAGGGGACATGCCTGTGTACTGGCGGGGGCCAGAGCTCGAGGAGGAAGGGGCCCTGGGGACGTGGTGTCTTGGAAGAGGTGGGTGAGGGGAAGCATTGCAGTGGCCTTAGGGAGCCTGCACCAGGGACTAGGAGTGTAGACAGAGCTTGGCGGTGAGTAGAGACGAGAGGAGAGAGGGATAGAGACAGGAGACATGGATACGGAAAAGGAGAGGCAGACTACGTGTGTGTGTGTGTGTGTGTGTGTGTGTGTGTG